TTTTCCTGTCCTTGTCCTTCGACAATGTCGGCACATTCGTAGGACTGTCACTCCCATGGATCGAATGGTATTGTCCTATTGTTAAACGCTAACCAAAATTAGTAAACAACATGGCGGACTCGACTCGCCGGAATGCCCGGGCGTCGATCATAAAAAGTGTGGATAGCTGCTCGAATTCGCCACTCCGGTTCAAATTTTGAGCATAAATGAATATTATACAGTACAAGGATTGCTGCCGCTGCCCCGCGCGTTAGGTATTCCCCCCTGTTCGCCTCCGCGCGTGCCCGGACACTCCCTCGCGTGTCCGGGCGTTAAATAGTAGGACCCGTCGCACCCATTCTTTTTGAATAATTGAGAACCCAAAAAAATCATCATTTCTCATATGTGTAGATGCTCTAATAGAAGCCGCATCCCCTCTATTGCATTGTACCATTTTGATAGAAGCCGCGGTTTCTAATACAGATTTTACAGTAACATTTTTGAAGTTTTAACTGAATTGTATTTCTGATGGTTTTGTACATGCAACCCAAATGCCCATACTGCATGACCCTTAAAAGTACATCAACTGAAAATCTAGTTGCAATCATTTCTATGCCAGAAATATCCTACTGCTTAAACCAAAACTTTGCATAATAAGCTCTTTCTCTTTCTGCGTTAGCATAATGCCAAAGTTAGTAGTATGTTCGTGGTTACTTTTGCCGTTGAATGACTTTGCTTTTTGTTTTGTTCTCTCACAGCAGTTGGCTAACTTACCATTGGTGCAACTGGCTGCAGTGTGTTCGTCTGTCAAAAATGCCGCAACTTCTTGTGTGTCACAGTTCAACAGAAAAAGGAAACAACCAAGAAGGAAGGAAAAGCAGTCATCGGAAGAAGTGATATGTCCAGAGAGTCTCAACAATGTGAGTATTGTAAATACTTTAATTTAGGCATCATGGAAGAGTGAAAGACCTTAAAATAGGCATCACAAACTGTTGACAGTTTACAGTAAAACTAGAAAAGAATATTGGTATTTCCCCATAACATAAAATGATTTTTATTTTGTTCATAATGAAAAGTATGGTCTAAGAAGAAAAATAAACATGAATGCAATACTTAGTGACAAATTCTCTGGTCATGGTATGCTTCACAAGTGAATAACTTGTTTGTTTTTTAAGTGTTGCAAATGTTGATTATTACTCAGTTGTGATTATAACAATTATAATGTACAAAAATAATCGATTCCCTGGATTGTTAAATTCAACTTAGTTTCATGGAAAGCAAATGTTTTCGGTCGAATATAATAAACATTTTATATTCAAATTCAAAATTGGCAGAGGGTGTTTTAAGAAGAACTTTAAGTATGGTAATATATGTAGTGTAATTAATGCAATAGCTACAGAATTCACAACATATCCATGTTGTCAATATCAGTACTTCAATGAACAGTTTTTAGCTTTGGCTGTGATTAGGTTTTGTAATCATCTTAGAGTGTTGTCAATCATTGAAATGCTGTGCATCACTATAACAGAACAAAATACAGTTATAGTTTTAGTTACATGTATGAACCCTTAAGTATGCTTTAAAAAGTGACTGTAGTATTTTTTGTGTAACTTAACTCTGTAAATAAGTAGACAATTAAATCTGGGATTTATGTAATAAAATTGTCACTGTTGTTGCCTACTATCCCTCTTCAGAATAAGAAAATTTCAACCCAATAAATACACAGAATCAACCTAATATATTGAGATACACGATATGCAGCTATAAACTAGGGTATTGTCAGATATATATCTTAGTATGGTACTCATTTTCACTAATTTATGTGTATTCAATTGCAGGTAACTGCAAATCTCACTGAGTTGGGACTCAGGACAACCTACCAAACAACTGGTTGTCAGAATGCACCGTTCCAACAACAAAAAACAACTGGCATGTGTCATATGTGTCTGCAGAAACATTTTTTCAGAATAAACACGGTAGGTGTCTTGGTTATCTGCTAGCTTAAAACATTTTTTAAAGGGGTTTAATTTGAGAAGTATTGTGCAATCAATAAGTGGTGAATCCACGCTTCAGTTGTTAAATTTAATGACATTCGTAATACTACTTGCTGCTGTTGTTTATAGCAAGTGGCAAAGAAAACTGATCAGGTTGTCCCAATCAGC